CATCTTGTACCTCCAGCTCTCAGTAAATATTTGTTGGGGAAAAAAAACGAATGTACAAATGAATGTGTGTTAGTCACTGAGAGTACAAAGACAAATGAGACTCGGTCCCTGCCCTTGAGGAGCTCACAGTCTGTTGAACACAGGCAGCAAATTAAATACCGGTCGTGTCTCCTGGGAAGCACATGCTTTTATTCAGAGACACTGTTTCATCAGTGCCTGGCTGCCGTTCATACCCATACGCAGATGAAAAGACAAGATGTGTGAAAATGTGCCCCCAAGGAGCTGGGGATGGGGTGGGGGGCTGCAAACCACCTGCTCTGAAGAGCCAGCCTCCTTGTGCTGAAGTGAGCACATGGGAGTGAGGAAGAAAGCAACGCCCCATCAGAGCCGTGGGAGCTGAGGACGCACAATTCCTCAGACTCGCCCTCAGGGACCCATCAGAAAAGCGGGAGCAAAATCACTGGCGAATCATTCCATCAGGCTCTGCTTGCACAGACTGCAGTGAGGCAGCGGGGCCAGCCACTCCATCAACACCGCTCCTCCAAGCTCAAAGCTGGGGCTGGAGATTCAGGGCAGACACTAGAGTTTTGTTTAGTCTTTCAAAAGAGACGTGAGGAAGTCCCTGACTGTAATCAGCCTTCGCCTCCCGCCCCACCACCCCTGTGGGATCCCAGGAATTATCTTTTCTCCTTCTCAAGTATGTTTGGCAAAGTGTCAGCTTGTGCACATTTTCCACTTCTTTCCTTAGGAGGACTTTAGTGAAGTATGACAGAGAGGAAGCAAGGACCTTTGTTTCGTCCTAGAGATAAGTGGCTTCTCATTCTTTGTTCTCCCAGTGAGATAGAATATCAGTGTCCATATTATTGATGTGATCAAGGTTGTCTGAAGTGTTGATTAAAATTCATTTGGGTTTTGAAAGATTTCTTCTTGTTTATGTTAAATAAGGAGATCATGAGGTGTTCAGGAAATTGTTAGGGAGGGTTGCCTTCTGTCAATTCCCAAGCAGCAGGGCTGTGCTCTAGCCCAGGGAGGCTAAAGCTGCAGGTGGAACTGACTGTTTGCAAAGTAGAACCTGGTGAGACACTTAACCAGTGGTTAACTTGCTGCCTTTGTTCAATAGACTCTGAGCTCCTTCAAGTAGAAATCCCATAAGAAAAGGTAAAAACAACAATGGCAACAAAATTCCTCTCTTCATCACCGTCTAAAAGTTTGTCAGCATCTTAACATTTTGAGGAGAAAATGTCATCTTACCAAGGTTATGTTCTTCTTTAAAAAATAGCATTTTAGTCTCTTTCAACATTGGAATTCAAAGTAAACATAAACTCACTCTCTTGGTAATTAGGTAAAATGATAAAAATTAAAATATTGCTATAATGAAATAGCAACTACAAAGAAACTATCTATAGTAAGTAGTTACTAACTCACACGCAACATGGCCTCATCTTATTCTTGCTGAAGAGATCCACTTTGAAACAAAGGAAGAACTTTATGTCTTTCTGAAAACATAACTTGCTAATTATTGTTTCTGTTCTTTTAAGTTTCACAATCTTTCTTTGGAGGTTAGTTGTGCATTGCTCTCAGCTGTGTGATCTGCTATCCTGGTGATTTCAGTACACTTAAATGTAGAATCTCATGGTCTAAGATTTCTGTCTTTAGGTAATTTGTTCTTACTGTAGATCTTAGCAACCTCAGCATCCATTTTTTTATTCTTTCCTTATTGAGAATTTTCACCTAAAGGAATTACTTTACAGGTTCTCTAATTGCCAGCATTGCTACTCTTGCACTTTGGAGCCATTATTAAGTAAAATAAGAGTTATGTTAGTGCAAGCACTGTGATACCTGGACAATCTATCTGAGAACCAAGAAGGCTACTAAGAGACTAACAGGCAGGAATGTCTATAGTGTGGATATCCTGGACAAAGGAGGGATTCACTTCCTGGGCAAGATGGAGTGGGATGGTGCAAGATTTCATCACACTTTCAGAATGGTGTGCAATTTAAAACTTATGAATTGTTCCTTTCTGGAATTTTCTGTTTAATATGTTCGGCCCAAAGTTGACCCTGGGCAACTGAAAGCAAAATCATGGATAAAGGGGGACTACTGTATTGCCTACTGTGTAGGACATGACTAGAAGGTGAAATAAAGTTAAAGAAAACATGTCAGAACAGCACACTTGGTCTCCCTGCTTCTAAAGGGTCTGAATCAATCAATACCTTGAAACCCAGGGCATGTACAGAGACACTAATGTGCAAAAGCAAAGCTGGCATGTGACATGGTTTGCTGGTCCCAAGCCAGCAATTACTAGGGACCTGTTTGATTGCATAGTCTTGTCCTTTAGTCTAGAGCTCCAAAAATTTCAAATGAGGCTGGCATGGAAAGAATTCCTGAAGCATAAGCCTCTTTCTTCATCAATTCATAAGGAAAATTCTACCATCAAAAAACCATAGACCCAAAAGGAACTTTGAAAGATTATATTGTCCGTGTTCCTGACTTCAGGTGAAAACCATATGTAACCTATCCGTGAAAGATAACAATATGCCTGTTTTTAAGTCTTCAGGAAAATGATCATGTCCAGCTTTGTCTGATAACCTAGCCTGATGTTTCTTTACCTTCTGCAAAAGGAAAATCCTGGTATTGCTTCAGAGTTACACAAAGCTGGGTTCAAATGTCTGTTCTGTCATTCTCTGACCAAAGGACTGCCAGGTTACTGATCTTGCCAAAACTTAACTAACTTACAACATGGGAATAAACAGTCTCCTTGCCTCATGAGGTTGTTTTGAAGACCCTCAATACATGTTATTTCCCTGTTCCTCTTTTACCTAACCTGACATTCTCATATTGCATTCCTCATGTGGGAGGAAGAATGCCAAATGTCTGATCATTCCCTAAGGTGGCAGACAGCATGGCGTAACTTCAAGGTTTGGCACAAACTTTAAAAGGAAGCTGGCTTGCCACCCATGGGATAGCAAGATAAAGCATTTAGTATCTTGCACCAGGTTGTGGGAGAATCAGTTCCTAAAAATCCTTTACCAGGTACTATCTGACACTGTACTTGGGACTTAGGACAAAGTATAATAGCTTTGTGGCCAGCCCCCTATATAGTGATGGAAGATAATTCCTTGGAAAACCAACCTCAAACACTTTGCAGTGTTAGGGTGGTAGGGAAACAGGGTCATAGTGGAGAGGCTTGAGTCACACAAATGGAAGAGAAGGGAAAGCCTGGGTTTGCAGGCAAGACAACAAAAGTGGTCCCACATGGGCCACTTCAGGAATGTGGCACAATTAAGGACCTTTGAGTCAGTGGATGTGTACTCTCAACAGTGTGGGAAGCTCCTCTGCCTTTACTGGTGGGGCTGCACCTTCACTAGGTATAGGAAGTTTCTGGATCCATGACTGTAGTATGATGCAAAGATCTTCAACTTTACACAGGAGAAAATATTTTAAAAAGAGATGTAGACTTGAAAACTGGTCTCTATGCGCAGAATAAAGTTCATGGAGATTCTCACACCACATTTTTTGCAAGTAGGACTGGCTCAGATGTTAGAATAATTTCCAAATATATGAAGAATTATGATGACCAACATTTGCAATCTCAAAGGGAGATTCCAGATGATGCTTGAATTGTGGGAGATATGATTTCTATTAGATTTGCAAAGAATTTCCTGACTGTAAAGTTTATTAAAAAGAAGAAGGGCAAGGAAGGAGAGGGAAGGGAAAGGGGAGGGCAAGGAGAAGAAGAAACTGTATGGTGACTTTCCTACATATCTTGGATACAAAGGCAGACATCTCTCTACTATAAAATGAGCATAGTCATTCCTGAATATCAAAGAGCTGGGTTTATATTTCCATCATTTTTTCATGCACCAAAAAGATATTGTGTGCATAAACTATGCCAGGTGCAGTGGTAAGGTCTAGGGTGATGGAGATGATAGACACAGGCCAGGTCCTTAAAGAACTCACTGACTCAAGCTTGATGCTCAATAGCTAATTGTTGAATAAATATATAAATGGAGTTCTGTAAACAGATAAATTATAATACAGTGACATAAGCACTAATAGCTTCCATTGTAGTACTAGGTTTATATTTCTAACTATGGGAGTGCTTTGCAGAAGACATGGCATTTGGGCTATAGCTTAAAAGAAGATTGATTGGCAGGATGGACATTGAAGGGTGGGGTACACACACACACCCTAGAGGCATAGTTCCCGGGCTATCTGGCACTGGGTACAGTGTGATTGGAGTAGAGGTTATATAGTAGAAGTTGAGAAGGCCAGTGATCAGTGAGGAGGCCAGAGGAGAATGAAGTGCATAAACCCTGTGTGCTACTCTGTTTTTCATTGCTATAAAGGAAATACCTGAGGCTGGGTAATTTCTAAAGAAAAGAACTTTATTGGGCTCACAGTTCTACAGACTGCACAGGAAACATCATGCCAGCATCTGTTTCTGATGAGAGCTTCAGGGAGCTTCCAATCCAGGAAGAAGGCAAAGGGGGTGCCAGTGTGAGACATGGTGAGCGAATGAGCAACAGAGGGAGGAGGAGGTGTCAGGCTCTTTTAAACAAACCAGCTCTTGGGTGAACTAATCAAGTGAGAACTCACTCATCATCTTGGGGTAGACACCAAGCCTTTCATGAGGGATCTGCCCCCTGATAACCCAAACACTTCTCACCAGCCCCCACATTCAACACTGAGGATGAAATTTCAACATGAGATTTGGAGAAGCCAACCATCCAAACCGTATCACCCTCCTTCTCCAAAATGTCTCTTGAGCTCCCAGCAATGAATGCATTCATAAATAAGGCAAGTCCTACTGTATTTAACACTCTTTTGGCCTGTCATGAAAACAGAACACTCCTTCTTGGCCCTCATTCATGAATTTGAAAAACAAAAAAATCATTACTTATTTATATTCTAAAAGATGGGCATGGGTAAGGAAATTCTTCATCTTGGGAATATTCTACATCAACATCAGCTGTTTGTGAACATCCCTTCTCTTTCAGAAATGACACACTTGGGATCATGATACAGAAAGCTGAAGAAGCTCGGTGTTAGCTTCTACCCAGAGAGTGGCAGGACTCCATGTAGGAGGTGGATGAGAAGGATCTTCAATAAAGTTGGAGCCCCAGAACACAGCAGACTTGCCACTGAGCATTTGGCAACTTATTTTGTCACACAAAAGTCTCAAGTGTGCACAGGGAGGGGGTGGCTCTATTGGAAATCAGAAGCTCAAAGAACAAGCTTCTGGGAAATGCTGTCTCTTAGATCTTAGGGTCTCTCCCATCAGAAAAAGAAACATGAGCAAGAGAAAGAGGGGCTCAGAGCTGGAATGAATCAGCTCAGAGAAGCCTCCATGCAATAACTACCTGTCCAGTACCTTGTATTTTTCAGACACTGTGCTAACGCTGGAAGGCAAATACCACACATTCCCTGCCAGCAAGAATCCTGTGTTTTCCTCCGTGAGACAGACATTTCCTCGGGGAGACAGATTCCTAAGCAGTCACGATAACATGTGAGATGAATATGAGGACACTATAAAGGGCCCCTAACTTCTCCTGGAAAGGGGAAGGTCCGGAGGTCAGGGAGCGGGGGATTCTGGAGCAGAGACTGAACAAGAGAAAGCATCCCAGGCATGAAAGCAAGATTCAAGAAGTGACTTGCTTGGTATGGTTGGGGTTTGAGGTTTGTGATGGGAGCAATTATGAGAGCGGAGACTGAAGGAGAGATAACAGTGTGTGTGGCTACTGTATTGGAATGTCAACAGTAAACCTGCCGAGCACTGCAGGGGCTGATTCCGTGGTGGAGCATCCAGTCTCCTGCAGCTGGAAAACCCAGGTCCCGCACCTACTGCACAAGTTCCCAGGAATCAGCCCAGGCCTCCTTCCCATCCCTGCAATGCTTATGCTGAGAAAAGCAGGGACAAGCACAATTGTAACTTGTACCAAGTAATTAGTGTTGTGACTAAATAAACGAACGACACCTGCACATCCTGTTTTGCAAAATGAGTCAAATTAGTGAAACAAGTTGAATAATCACAGCCAATGCCAATCTCAGCCATCGCAGCTACGCTGGTCATTTCTAGTTTTAATGAGAGTGGCTTGGTGATCAGTGTTCATTGAGATGAATGAAGAAGAATTTGAAGTTTATGTTTTATTTTCAGTTATATATATAATATATAATCATTGTCATAAAATAAAACATTTAGTTTTGCAAAAATAACCTAAAGTTACTCTAAATCTACCATACAAAAATGACTGTCAACATTTTGATGTATATACTTTCAGGCTTTCATAAATACATATATTTACAAAAACTGGTTATTATCTTATTTCTTCTGTTAGTTTACATTTGACTTTTTAGTGTTTTTTTTTTCCTCCTTTGTTCCCTCTATTTTTTTTTTTTTGAAGAGGGAGCTCGTTTTGTCATATGATCTGAGTTTTTCTTTGATTCCTTCTCCCCTCCTGAGGAATTTGGAAGGCACAGTACCTGTTATAAGTTTCTCTGATAGTTACTAGCAAATTTTTAAATAATGATGCATGTTTCACATCTATGTTCTAAACTTATGTTTCTCAAATTATTAAGAACAATCCATTGATTCACCCTATGTACAAATAAGAACAGACCATACTTTCTCTCCAGCATCCCACACGCCACCCCAACCTCCCAGTTTTTGTTAGATTTTTGTCTAGTCTGTAATAATTGAATTGTTGATTCTCATATATTCAGACCTCTTGTTTCAAGAACTTTATTAATACATTTTCCTTAAAAAGTATTATTTAAAAATGTTTGCTTTCCCCAGTTTCCATACTCTGGGTTCATCCCAGTTACCACAGAGAACACTAACATTCTAGAGCCCTTTCCCAGGCTCAAAGTGTCTCCTTGCTGCCTTCACGTATTACCGACAGCTTGGGCAGATAATAGAATTTCTGAATCATAGAATAGCCATTCTCCCTAAACACCACGTAGACAAATGTCATTGCATCTTTTATTTTGTAGGACACCTGTTTCTTTTTCCAAGATTTTGGGAAGTTATCTTTTTGTCGACTTAATATTCTGTGGATCTAAATGTTTATCCATTTTCATTAAGTCCACAGTTAAACCTTTTAAAGTAGAGATACTTTTTCATTTCAGGGAGATTTTCTCCCACATACATTTTTGAAATTGTTTCTGCTGCCTTGATTCTGACTATGTTGTCATTTTCTCCCCTCGTGCTGGTGCTACATACACTATGCCCAGGTACCCGATTCGTCACTTTTCTTTAATCATTTTCACTTGCCTTTTTTCTCCCTGTGAACTCTGGTGATTGTCTCAAGTTTGTGTTTACCTTAATAGTTTCTAAACAAGTTTGATTTTCAGAATCATCTCGGGAAATTTTTATAAATGCAGATTTCTTAGCTTCACACCCAAGGCCTCCTGAATCAAAATCTCCAACATATGACCCTAGGAATGTATATCTTAAGCATCTCTCCTCACTGTCATATTTTTAATGATCGTGTAGATTATGGAGCCACTGTCTTACTGTACTAGGCTAATCTGTTTAATTCAGGGATGATTCTCCCTCTTACTGCTTTTCATGCAGTTTTACATTTGGCAACAGAATTATTTGCTTGCTTATTCTTTTTATAAGATCCCTTTTTATCTCAATCTGTTGCCTCATTACCCACCTTTCAGCAAGTTTGTGTTTTGAGTAATTACCTTGAGGATGCATTAAACTTTTGTCTTTCTCTTGTGGTAAATCTTTTCCAAATATATGGTTCTCCAATCTTTTGTATGTTATGTTTATTTCCTTCTTTTGTGTTGAGAAACTTTTCTTATTCCTCGTTGGGGACCTAATAACTCACTCTTCAGTGGTACCTTAGGTGACTCCTTGCATTCCCAGGCACTCTTAAGTACATAGTAAGTTTTGTCATTCAGCAGTCTGAGGAGCCTGGAGAGAAGCCAAGTGCATGAGCAGAACTTTGCTTTTGCATTTTTCTACGCATCTGGGAACTCTTGCATCAAGACCCAGCTCTACGTACCTTGTGTATACTTCACTCTGCCCACTACTCTTTGTACCCACCATAGTTACATTTAGTAGCTCACATAAAACATCTATCCATGGGAATTCAATAGAATTTACATGAATTGGGACAGTTTCCTGTCTAGTTCCAGAATGTTTTTTTTTTCCTCACTCTCTCATTAGGAATGGCTACATTAGTGACAATTGAGTTAGAGAAAAATCCCCATTTTCACATGAATTCTGTGTGGTTGAGCCATGTGTATTTTCTCCCCGCAGGGCACATTCCAAATTGTTCCACAGAAGTGAATCCTCCTTCCTCCTACGCACTTGCCCTTACCCCCAGATCTCAGCCCTCAGCGTTAAGAATCTCTCCCATAGATGTCAGAGTAAGTGCACAAAAAAGGCAAATAATAGCCCAAACTGTAAATAAACCCATCATTCATCTGCAGTTATAGTTAAATACATGGTGCTAAATGTGCACAATGGGATACAAACCCTAATTAGCCACATGCATCAATACTGACAAATGTTAAAAACAAAGTTAAACAAAAGTCAAATCATGGAAAGCAGTCAGTGATGATCCCTTCACATAAGTTTCATAGACAGGTAAAGCTAAGCAGCAGATTGTTTACACTAGAAAGATATACATAGGTGGTAGAGGTGTCTTTTTTTAGGAAGTGAGTGATGAACACATGTATAGCACAGTGGTTAGCACAGGTGGAGAGTGGAGGATGGGAACAGGGAGAGGCACTCCAGACCTTAGAAGGTACCGCTAATATTCTGCTTCTGATGCTGATGCATAAGTATTTGTTTTATTCTTTTTCATAGGAATACTAATTTTAAAAATTGTATTATTGACTGTACACTTAAAGTTAATTTAATTTTAATTCTAATGATTTTAATCACAATACATTTAATAACTCTTTCATATGTATAATACATTATAATAAAGTATTGCACATGGCACTGTTAGGCAACCTAGTTCAGCAATGAGAAGCTTTTCCTTATTCCTGCTTCACTTTGGATTTCTGAAAGGAGGAAAGTGGGAAGCTTGCTTTCACATGAGATATACCCTCAGAAATACAAAAATGGATGACTAGAGTTCACACAGGGTGACGTTACTAGTAGCATAACAATGAACAAAGCAGAGCATTGTCTCAAGCAGCACCGTGTGTATACACTATCCTCAGAGGTAGGGTTCATGCCATCATGCTTAGAGGTGAGAACAGTGAGGCTCAGTGTTATGAAGTGATTTGCCACTCTGCTGTCGAGGGAAGAGCTAAATTCAAACACAGTCCAAAATCCACCCACTGTGCACTTCATCACACTGCCTGAGGCTTCAAGTCTATGGTCAATTAAAGTTGAAAGATATTATCTTTCAGTCATTCAACAAATATTTATTGAGCACCTCCTATGTGCTAGGCCAGGTGCTAAGGATACAACAATGAACAAAACATACCTTTAACTGCTGTTACGGCATTTAGAATATATAATGGAACATAGGAACTAAAGAAAGAATTACACAAATCATTATTCAGTGACAGTTGTGGAGAATTTGATGTATAATCGTACATAAGGGGAGAACCTAGACTACAGGCTCACAGAAAGGATTTCCCAAGGAAGTGGCTAATAATCTGGATCACCATTGAAAAACAAGACAAGCAGAGAAGCAGGGAAAACAGTGGTATAATAGAGGGTACAGCCTGTAGGAAGAGCCAGAGACTGGCAAGAACTTGAGAAGAAATTAGCAGAACGGCATAGAAAGAAAGGCCCAAGATGGGAAGAAGCACAATTTGCAAGACTTCATAAAACCATGACCATGATGTTGGTTTTATCCTAAAAGTAAAGGCAAATCTCTAAGGGGTTTAAAGAAGAGAAGTGTATGGTCATTTCTATTGCTTTGTGTACTCGAGAATGTGAAAAGAACAGACTGTGTTATTCCTGAGCCAAAAAAAAAAAAAATCAGGAGTGATTAATATATACTATTTATCTGTTATGTTATAATAGATTTGCTCATAAATATATAATATCTATAATAAGACTCTTTAAATGGATGGAAATATGTCATGCTCAGTCTACATACTGAAGATTGAAAATAGTAATAGATCTGGCAAACCTTGAAAGACATCCCTGGCCTTCATGACTTTTCAAGTTGAAGACGCGTCTTCTGCATAGGAGATGTCAGAACCTTGGTGTGAGCTCTGTCAGTCCTGTCTCAGCCCATCCTTGGCAGTGAGACTTGCTGCCCTCTTGCCAATAAAAAGGTTGGGGCTGCAAACCCTGAAGATGACTTAAGTTTTTCCAGGGGCCAAAGAAATGTATCATATGGAAAAATGGATGGGCCTTTATTTGAAATTGAAATATTGTTATAGATCCCCATTCAGTGAACATAAAGGACCCACTTCATAGTACTTTCCTAGTATCAAAGAATTAACAGATAAAACTTCACTTGAATTCCTGCCATCTTTTCCCCTTTCCTCTGTCATTTGTCTATTCTTTTTCCATGCACTAGGAGACTACTAATTATTCTCCAGAATAATCCCACCTGTAGTAACTAATGGTTTCACTTGCGCGTGTGTATGGGGTGTCTCTGGTGTGGGGGTGCTATGTCGTATGCTTTGGGTATGGATGACAAAGATGAAGGAGTCGGGTTTTCTGCCCTTAGCAGGCCTCCAGCCTTAGAAGAGGAGATCAGAGGATCACAAAACACTGTGATGATGTGCTATAGAAATGGTGAACACACTCTGGATTTTCAGAAGCAAGGAAGAAACCAGGAACACTTCCAATTGCTTCAATCTCTGTTAGTGGGAATTATTTTTTTCACCAGGTCATTTAAAACAAAACACTGCAACCCCATGCTCCAGGAAAATCAAACAAATTAGAATTCTGTGCAGTCCATTCTTATATTCCCTGCATAACTCCCTTCACCGAGTCAATCGTTTTAAACAAAGCTCTGAACTAGCAGTGCATCTATGGGGGATCATTTGTGCACATTTGCAGGCCACTGCATGGTCACTTTTAGAAGGGACCAAAATAGCTATTTTCTCATTGTTTTCATCTTTGATTTGCTTCACTATGAATATAATGTAAAGCTGGCTATGTTAAGCTAATTATACCTAAGCTTTTATTTGCTGCTGCTAAGTAGAATCGTGCAGAAAGCATCCCCCCAACTCAAAAGAATGGAACATTTTAACCACAACAATCATTTTTACATTAGAGGAAGCACCTTGCTGTCCTTTATGGAGAGTGACTTATTAGGCCTTTTTGTACCCGATTGCCATGAAGTATCTGACTAGCCAGGGAAACATATGTGGGCTCCACAGTATTAAACTGTTTGAATACTCAGAATAAGCCCCCCAGTTACCATAAAGAAACAGCTCCTTAGTTGGGAAGGTCTAGGGTGGGGTGGAGGGAGGGGGTTGGTGATCTCCACTAAATACTAATTTTCATATTTATAAACTTTTAAATTTCACACGAATATAACTCTTCTAAGTAGACCAAAATGGTTCTCTTTCCCTCTTCCTTGGTATTTGTCATTCTCCTAGAAATCTGAAGCAACGCAAGTCCCTCCCCTCAGTCATCGGAGCAGAAGTAGAGTATGATCTGCAATATGCTTTGGGTATAAAAATAGACAATCTTCCCCAAGCCACCCCCCACGTTGGGACTCTGAGTTTTGGCCTATTTCACTGCTTACCCCTAAAGTCATGGTAAATTTATGCATATCCAGGGCCTGGGATGATTGCTCTCAAGTTCTTTATGAGAAAATTCAGTTGTCATTTGCATTTTAGATCCCTGCAATGGATTGATAGGCTTTAGAGAGTTAATCCATCCTCTAGCTATAATTCATAAATATATACATATATCCATCCAATTTGACAGTAGAGCGGGATGCCGTTATGGAGAAATTGAAGCACCAGGTGTGATTAAATAAGATCACACGTTTCATTCTCTCTTTAATTTCACATCACTCCACAGCAGCTGAATCCACGCACTCCCCACGTGGAGTCAGCCGGCACCATGCATTTTTAGTGTGCCCAGCAGAGCGCTGGCAAAATGTTTCCAAAGTAAGCCACCCTGCTGAGCTCTTGTGAGTCGAAGCTGGTTTTTGCCTCCAAATTATTCAATATTGCTAGAACTGGTTTATTAATCCATGCATCTCCCTTGAGAGTAAGGTTTCTGATACTTTTACATTATTGATATTCAATTTCAGCTAAACGTAGTTTCAAAAATAGGACTAAAATCAAGGATAAAGAAAGAATGAGGTTACCAGGGGTCTGAGGGTGGGGAAATGGGGGCATGATGGTCAGAAGGTAGAAGTTTTCAGTCACAAGATGAATAAGATCTGGAGACTGAATGTACAGCATCATGACTGTACTGAATAGTACTGTATTGCGTACTTGAAATTTGCTGACAGATCTTCACTATGTGCGGTGATGGATATGCTAATTTGTTTGATTGTGGCAAGCATTTTACAATATATACATATATCAAAACATCCTATTGTATGCCTTAAATATATATGTGATCCTTATTTGTCAATTATACCACAGTAAAGCTGGGGGGGGGGAAACAATTAGGAAAAGTTCACAGCCTTCCTTCTCACCCCTCTCCTTGTTTCTTTAGCCACCCTAACTCTGCTTCTAAGACTAGGAATTAGAAATGGCATTAATATCATTCATTTCCTTTGTAAGCATGTCCCAAGAGTATACATGTATAGCATTCTTGATGCTATTAAAAAGTGAAATTGGGGTAAGGAGGCAAAATTCTCAGATAGAGTTCAATGTGCCTCACCCCTGCCATTTAACAGCAGGCAGCTTGGACTGGCAAGAATAAAGCAGCGTCCCTGTGCTGAGACGCTGTGGTCACGTGGCATACCCAGCAGAGCCGTGAGTACCATGATCGATGCAGTGGCGAGAGAGGAGTAGTTGTCCCTTCCCAGCTGCGAGTCCTCTTCCTTTGCAGCCAGAGGCCAATCACTATAACCAGTCATGAGTCAACCACATAACATGGTGTAGGTTAATTCATTCCACAAATACGGGTTGAATGCCTGGGTGCCAGGTACTAGCCTAGGTGGTACTGAACAAACACGCTCTGGTGAAGCTCATCCATTCCTATGATCTCACCCTGCTCATTGCTCCATTCTCATCTGCTCACCCCCCAGTGGACTGTTAACAACCAGGCAGGTAGAATGACTTACAGTCCCAAGAACACCATGTTCTTTCTTCTGTTTACTCCGGCCCATGTAGCTGGGGGATCTCCCTACCACCGCTTTTTGCCTGACCAACAGCAAGCCAAATATCAGGTCTCACCTTCCTCCAGGGGCCTCCCCTGGCCTCACCACTACTCTGAGCTCACAGCAATATCTTCTTGTTTTTCATCCCTGCTACCCTGCTATAACATTTCCCAGGATAGAGATGATGTCTTAGTCATTATACTCCACATTCTGCTTGAAGTGTAGCAGGCACTCAAAAAATTTTTTCTTGAGGCTGAGCATGGTGGCTTATGACTGTAATCCCAGCATTCTGGGAGGCTGAGGTAGGAGGATTGCTTAAGACCACAGGTTCAAAACCAGCCAAGGCAATACTGCAAGATTCTGTCTCTACAAAAAATTTTAAAAATTAGCTGGGTGTGGTGACCTGTATCTGTTGTCCTAGCTACTCTGGAGGCCAAGGTGGGAGGATCACTTGAGCCCAGGACTTAAAGGCTGCAGTGAGCTATGATGACACCACTGCACTCAAGTGTGGGCAACAAAGTGAGACCAGACCCTATATCTAAAAAAGAAAAAAAAAATTGTTGAATAAATCATTGAATTCATTTATACCCTTGAATACATTCCATATGCACTCTGCCCTCCATGTAATCCTTATGAGACCTACATGACAGTTCTCAAATAGAAAGTAGGAAAATTGTGATATTTATAATCTTGATCACCCTAATTATAGTCAGAATTACACCCCCATATACTTTTTTATGAAAATCTCCTTCTCTCCCTAGTATGCTTTTTAATAAAAATGGACCCCTTGGAAAGATTAAATTGGAACTATTAGAAATATTAGGTTGTTCTTTGTTGCAGTTTCTTCTGGAGAATTCCTAAGCCTGTACTTTTCTTACTAAGTACAGATTAAAATGTATTTAAAAAATAAGAAAAAAAAACAGATTTACAACTTTGAAAAATAGGCATGCAAGTAGGTACATATTAGAAGGCAATAGGCAAAAATAAAAGAGTTGTCTTTGGGTGGTAGGATTAAGAGTTAAGAGCACACTTTCCTTTTGTCCAGATGTGTTTTAGTATTTTTGTATTTTTCATGGAAGAAGCATTAAGAAGAAAACAAGATGCTCCTTGAAAGAAACACATATCCAGCAGGTTTTTGTTTTACTTGTATGAGTCTAAGTGAATCAATTAAAGATTTTCCCTGTGCAAACAAATATCCTGCCAGTTCTGTGCATTTCTTAAATATTTTTTTAAATCTCTGGCTTTTTTTCAGCAAGATCTTCATGCATTCATTCAATAAATATTATCTATTCCATGTCAGACATTCCACTTGACATTTGTGTTCTGTGTATGAATAATGATGTGGGCCTGGCACAGTGGTCACACCTGTAATCCCCAGTGCTTTGGGAGGTTGAGGCAGAAGGATTCATTGAGGCTAAGAGTTTAGGACCACCCTGGGCAACATAGCGAGACCTCATCTCTACAAAAAATAAAATTAGGTGGTGTAGTGGCGTATACCTATAATCCTAGCTACTTGAAAGGCTGAGGCAAGAGGATTGCTTGAATCAAGGAATTTGAGGTTGCAGTGAGCTGTGATCGTGTCGCTGCACTCCAGCCTGGGTGACAGAGACACTCTCTCTAAAAGTAATAATGAGAAATTCTTGTAGCACTTGTTACCTCCCAAGGCTATTTCCTATACAGGCTGTTTTCCTATAGTACATCTACTATCTCTCACAATTCCATAAAGTAAATAGGACATATGTATTAGAGAAACACTACTATAATAAATATATTCCCAAAAGTGAGTGGCTTAGTTCTCTCTTATTTAACAGTCCTGCCTGAAGCCTGCAGGTCAGTGGGTGACTCTGTTCCACACAGTCATTTAGGGATCCAGTCTGACAGCACCTCTGCCATCTTTAACACACCATTTTTGAAATTTCTCCAGTCCTCACCATTCCAGCCAGAAAGTAGAGAGCCTTGAGCAAGTAAACAGGGGCTACTAACATCACTTGTGCTTGCATTCTGTTGGCAAGACCTGAATAACAAACACCTGCCTTAAGGAAAGTTTCAAATTGTGGCCTTCTCTTGGGAAGGGAAGAATAGATTTTGGTGAATAGCTAACATTCTCTGCCACAGCAAATACTTTTAAATTGCCATTTGTAAGACACACACACACACACACACACACACACACACACACACACACAAACAAACAACTAAGGCCCAAAGAGGTTGACTTGTGTAAAATTGCCCAGTTAAACATGGTCAGAACTGGATGTCTGGCTCCTGAATGCTAGATCAGTATCTCGTCCATCACTTTGATAGCAAAATACTGGCTTGGTGGAAACATTACTCATGGCTATCAAGTGCACTGCCTACATGAATACAAACTGTTACACCACAGCTCAGAATTTTATATTCATGTATTGCTTCACTTGGTTCAGCCTAGGACAGAGGGAGGGTCCTTCTAGTGCATGAAGAAAGGCTAAATGCTATCTCATAAACATTTTAATATACGCAATGTGTTTGGCTTTCCATCAGCTCCAGAACATGACTGAGAACAGAGTAATAAAACCCACACTCACATGGAAAGTTGACACCCTGCCCATGGGCACAAATGTAGCCTGGGATCTCCCCTAGCTCTTCAGTTGCTCCCTATTCAATGGTTCATTGAATGAATATTTATGGAGAAATTATGGGTAGGCACAGGGTTATGGAGGAGATTAAGACAGACAACCCCAACCACTATGGAGCTCACCACAGACACAACAAAACTATCACAAATTGTGACAAAGGATGCTGAGAGAGAGGGAATAATGGTGGAGACCTGTTTCAGACATGGCCCCTGGAAAGCATTTCTGAGAAGGGGTATTTAGGCTGAGTCCCAAAGGGTGAGAATGAGTTAGTCATGTGAAAAACAGTGCGGAATCTTCCAGATTGAAAAACACAGTGTGAGCAGCAGCTCTGCGGGAGGAATATGGCACGTTTAGGAACTGAAGGTGTCCCTGTTGCTCAGGATATTGAGTAAGTGGAAAGTGGTCAGGATAATAATAGCTTAATGTGTTCATATTTAACTCTCACAACCACCTATGAGATGGATTACTATTATCATCCTCATTTTACAGAAAAGGGAACTGAGGCATCAAGAAGTTAAGTGGATCAATAGCTTGCCTAATGACACATAGCTAATAAACAGGAGGGCCAGGATTTAAATCCAAGGAGTCTGGCTCCAAAGTCAATCTCTAACCACTGCATAATATTGCCATACTGTCAGAGAAAGATGCAAAACCTTCCAGTCTATCTATAAACAATTTTTCTCTCCTTCAAAAAAGAGAGAGAGAGAGAAACCCTCTCTTCCTTTAGCAAGTGATTCTTAATCAGAAATCCCTGGACCTCTTCCTCCCCTAAGAAACCATGGATAGAATTCAGGAGTGTTGGTGAATGTGCATGGGGGGTAGGGTATGGAAATACATATATCTTTAATCAACTTTTTATTTAAAATTAACTTTTCTATCTATTGTGAATGTAGGTACAAAAACCTCAACACTCCTAGCAGTACACACATGACTGTCACCAGAATCAATCACCAATAATTTTTTATCCTGTAACAGTTGCTGAAGATATCTTAAAATATCATTTGCATTCATCACTACTTTCAACATTAGGATAGTATTCCTGCCAATGAATCCGATTAGTTAATGCATTGATAAGGACACACATGCATTATTCCATCACATACTTTTAAAAACTATCTTGGTGTTTTCCAATGTAACTAGTTTATTTGATAATCTTATATATTTTCCTTTTTACACTTAAAAACATTCTTGAGAAGGGAGGGATCCATAAACTTCACCAGATTTTTTTAAAAAGTTAAAAAAAATGAGGATCCTTTTTCCTAACCCTTTTTATATTTAAGCTTTTCCCTCCTCCACAGTGCCAGAGTCATCCATATGGGCTTCTGGATCATCCATATGGATTGATTGTACTTTCTTATGCCCCATTTGTTCCACAGCCCATGTTTTTGGAGTTTCACTCCCAACTTCTTTTCACAAGATGAAGATTCTAATATCACTGTAGTCCTCCAAAATTAAATCAATACCACTCAGTATTTTCATTCTGTGACATCTATAGAATTCTGCCACAGTCACTTTTTTTCTTCAAGGGACTCTCTCGTGCTTCAGCTCCAAGAAACTCACTCTTCCCTTTTCCTTTCCTACTTTGCAATTTTTTTACATGGTTCTCCACTAATTACTGCTTAAAAATTAATGTCCCAGCATTATTCTTAGGAAACCACATTTACTCCTAAGATATCAGTACACTGATGATTCTAATCCCAGCTAGTTCTTCTAAGCTTCCTTCCTGGATGCTAATCTATCCAAAGAAAATGTTTGCTTTCATATCCCAGATGCACCTCAAACCCAGCACACTAAAGTTCAACTCATGATTATCGATCACTCCCCGATCACTCAGGGTTACCCTCAACTGCTCCCTATCCCTCACCCATGAACAAGCAGCTCCTCAGGTCCACATCTTTGGTGAAGTGGGGTTGATCAGGCCAAGAATGATGTGTAGCACTGGGAAAGTAGTACACACTCTAGGTCTAAATGTTATGAGTATAATATCCATTTATAGCCCCTTAAAATTTGCTCTAGAATTTTAACTCTCTTTCCTCGGGCACAGCTTCTATCAGGCAACTGATGGCTGAGTTATAGATTAAAATTCAAATTTTAGTGGTTTCCTCTCTTTTCCAGAGTGGAGCATGTTAAAAAACAAGCCACCTTCCTATGCTCTGTGTCATATAGAACTCCTTCCCTTGCTAAGTAAGGACTGCTCACCTTTTCGTGTTTGGGCCAGGGCAAGGGGAGGCAGGTGAGTCAGGAAAGTTCTCACTTCGTGGTACTGTCATAAGCTGGCCCTTGCTCCTGAGGGTTGCACCTGTTTACTCTTCGATGGGTTCTTCAGATGCCACCCCCCCACACCATCCCCGTTACTGGAGAAGGTGCACCTGTGGCAAATAAATCTGTGTCTTTCTGCATATTTCTATTTTATTTAATTCACAGTACTCAGTGATGCATCCAGCTTTTTGGCTGAGGTGTGTTTTCTCCTTTTAAGGGGCTTCCCTGGGGAGACCTTCTCTGCTCCACTCAATTTTTCACATGCAGGGTGGCCCAGATCTGGCCCACAGGAAATGCCACCGTAGTCCTTGCCCTGACAAACTTGAGCACAAACTATACCCAGCATCAGTGTCTCTCCTTTCCTCTGCCACAAGATCAGTTAACAAGCCATAGTTTCTGGCGAGATCTCTCGCCTT